AGTCTGACCTTGATGGACCAATTATTTGATTCAGTATAAGGCATACTCATATGTTCAGTGACCTTCAGCTGGAAACAACTACTCAGAATTGTTTACTGAAGAAATTATTAAATATTATTTGAGATGCAAACAGAAACTTACTGAAAGAGGAGGAAATCAGTGGATTTAATTGTCTTGATTCTATTTATGTTTACTAACTGTAGTATAGTTAAGACTGTACTACTTTAGTCTGATTGGTGGGCTTGTTTGATTTGTCTGTACATTGATGTTTCCCAAAACATTCTGTCCTTCCATCACGTGCTATCTGTTCACAAAACACCACACATTTTGCCCCCATATGGTCAAGAAGCATACTGATTTTCTAGGGTGTGACTTTTCAGGAATGCACTGTGTATGTGTGTGTGTGTGTTTGGTGAGTATTTTGTTTGTGTGTATGCCTGGAAGTCATGGCATGGTTGACTTCTGGAGACCCCTAGTGGGGCTTGGGCATTTCAAAGAGGTGGCTTTGATATTACCAGCCTCTGCATCCTGGCCCTGGTATTCTGTGGAGACCCTTCCAAGTATTTGCAGGGTCGGCCCTGCTTCGCTTCTGACATCTGATGAGTTTGGGCTTGCCTGGACTATCCGGGTTAGGGCCAGGATTGCACTGTGCATCATTAAGGGCACGTTATTGATCCTTAAGTCACAGAAATGCTGGGCAGCATGAGGTCCACCCACATGGCAAATATGACCTTTTTCCTTCTGAGTAGTCACAACACTAAGCAAGAACACAGAGCAATCCATTTCCATGTATTAACTCTAGCAAAGGGAACACTAGAAACAACACAGCGTTGTTATTATAGCAGATTAACAACATGGTGTTGTCAATCAGTGGTTCCTTGCTCCTAAACTACCTTGTAGTCAGATAGCTCTGTTCTTTGAGCATGCTCTGTTCAAGCAATTCAATGTCAACAACACAAGCCACCTAAAACCTTGGCTGGAGAGCAAAGGGACGTGATTTCTTGCTACATGATAGCCAGATAGCACGCCAAAGCTCTGGTCTCAGCAATAAGCCCTGCAAGTGCAGTTCATGAAGCTTCAAAAACTAAAGCCATCTCTGCTGCGAAATACCTTTAGTTGTAATGACTTTGCAGCTGAGTCAACTGCAGATAACAAGAAATCTCTATGCCTATTAACTGCTTCAGTCAGCCTAAGTCAAGGAGAGAAGTCGTCCAAAATGTGCTATCAATTCAGCTATCAATATTATGAACTAATAATAATTAACACATTTCAAGTGTTCAAAGTGTTTCATGTGTATTATTCCAAAGAATACTTACAAGTCTAGTGAGTCTGTGGCTGAGCTGAAATCAAAACTGGGGACTTCCCAGCACTCGGTTTGCATTCTGAGTCACTACATATTCGTTTTATTTTATTCAATTTATTCCCCACCATCCCCACCAAGGCAGGCTCAGGGCAGCTTGCATAAAATTTAAAACAGTTAAAACAGTTAAAACAATGAATTTCTAAAAACCAGTCATAAAGTGCTAGTGTGCCAAGTTATAAACTGATGGTGAGACACAATAACAAATCATCTTAATAGCAGATCCTAATGGGGTAGGTACAATCAGCATTCATGTAGAACTATCTCGGTCCCTTCACACCAGTGATGCACAGGTTGCAATGGTAATGCCACGGCACAGGGGTCCTATGGTACGGCTCCTTATCGAATGCCTGGCGGAAGAGCTCCATCTTGCAGGCCCTGCGGAACTGTAAAAGTTCCCAAAGGGCCCTGATATCATCCAGGAGCTCATTCCACCAGTGCAGTTGTTAAAAAATTTTTTTAAAAAAATCCACCAGTGCAGAGCCACCACCGAAAAGCCCCTGGCCCTGGTCGAAGCCAGCCTGGCATCTTTGGGACCCAGGAGGGCCAGACAGTTTTGAGACCCTGAGTGCAGTCCTCTCTGGGGAACATGTGGGGAAAGGTGGTCCCTCAGTTATGTAGGCCCCTGACCATAAAGGGCTTTAAAGGTAAGAACCAGCACCTTGAAGTGAATTCAGTATGCCATAGGCAGCCAGTGCAGTACATGAAACCAACTATCTATATGGAATAAATGCATTCCACTTTGATGTTTCTACTGCCAACTGTTTTCCCTTTCAACATTTAGACTGTCTTCTCTATCTCAGAAGATAAAGGGACTGTCTAGAGGATTTCTTACAGAGAAAGTGTATTTAATATCTCCCTCCTAGAGGAACTGAGAGCTCACATAACACTACAACCAAACACAATCTAGCAAGTAATGTGCAGTGTAAATCTCCAGGCATAAACATTATTTTTCCTCACTTTTCATAACATTCATTAGTGTGAGCAATGCCCAGTTGATGCCCCAAGAAAGAACTGTTCCTGATGACATACCAACCCTTTCAGGCTGTTTCACATCTAATTTCGCAAAGAAGCAAATTGACTTTTACCCCCCTTCACATTACTTTTAAGCACAATCAGCAGAGAAGGAGAGGTATGTACTAAATGTAAGTAATTTGCCCAAGCTAATTCACAATGTCTTAAAATACAGGACATAATTAGAATCCATGGCAAAGAACTTTCCAAAGTGTCTCTGTGAACCATCAAATGCAGCAAACAAACTGCTGCAGAGCCTTTCAGGGGACAATTTGATGATGAGGGGACTTTTCTGACTAGCTAACATAAATGCATGCAATATGGACGGTTCATTTGTCAGTATCTCTAGAAAAGCTTTTTAAATGCATTACTAAAACTGCAAAATCAGAAATGAATTTCTAGTAGAAGTGTGCAGTCAAGCTGTACAGCATATAATGTTTTATATTAAAAACTGGAATCTGAAGCTGTTTTAAAACTGTGTAGCTTACACAATGCCCTCAAGAAAGACAAATCCAGCATAAGGTATATCAAGAGAGGCATTAAAAATAAAGCCAGCAGTGAAAGTTAAAGATTTGTCTGGCAAAACTTTAGCAGTATTAAAGTTATTAAAAACAACAAGGCAGTATTAATAACCCATTCCCTGTCTGAATTATGAATGTACAAAAGCATTCAGTTTTGAAGTTATTTCTCCTGTAGCATTTATTTCAATGAAAGCCTCAATTATTTCAGCAGAGGATATTCTTAGGAAAAATGCACTATTGTATTTGTTTACCATGGCTTTTGACAATGTAACAGCACTAAGCCATTATGCTGGGCAGGCAAAACCATGGTGGCCAGCCTTAATAGCCCACCCTAATCCTGAAGTATCTGTCAGTTCATAAAACCAGAATGCACTTTCTTCTCTGTTAAGTCCAACCCAGAGCAAAGTTTGACTACCTACAGCTGTTCCTCTTGACTAGACACTTAACATAATGCAGACCTGTTACCATATTAATGTTACAACCTAAATATTATTGAGCTTATAAATGGTGATTTTACAGGAGCAGAACAGGTTTCTCCATGGAATCCATTCACAGTGCCAGGTACGGCACTTTGGATAGGATGTCTTTCTTGGCAGCCTGCTTGAGAAAGGAAAATGGCCATTGTTTTGCCAACTTCAGCATAAGCTCTTCAGATGCTTGCAAATGTCAGTAAAAGCTGTGAAGCAGAGCCATTAGAAGAAGTAATCCTAAACAAATATGGAAATGCACGAGCCTGCCCTGCTACCTTGTGAGAAAGCTGGAATTTCTTTTCAAACACAAGCCTAGTTGTGATTACTGCATTCACTGGCTTTTTCAGAATTATGTACAATGAAACCAATCAGCTATACAAGCAAAAGGATTCACATATTTCTCTCCACAGCTTCCTCCACTCCCTACCCATTATGGAATTCTCAAGCCAGCCTTTCAAAAAGTTTACATTTCTGGAAGTAGAAGAATTTGTGCACCAATTCCCTTTTTGCATCAGCATGACAGTGAAGAGCTTTATAAAAGAGTCAGAGTGAAATGAACTCTGAAGCAGCTGGGGACTAAAAGATTCAGGATGTCCAAGGGAAGAGGAGGATACTGGACTGGAAGTTTTATTTACAGCCTCACTATTGACTCACTGAGGAACCTAAACCTATGACAACAGTTTCTTTATTTTTTTGAAGCAATAAATTGGCAAGTTGGACAGCATGCAGTGTGAGAATTTACACTCTGGCACTGCAGGAACCAGGAAGTGTATATGTTTCTAAAAGGTCTGTGACCTACCTTCTCCCCTCCGTTTGGAAAATCTGGCAATTATTTCCTATGCATATGCAGTTTGTCGTAGCCCTTACATAGCACTTCAGTACTCCAAATATGTCTATAGTTGTACCTTTAACATTTGAACTTTCCACAGAGGCCACTTTTGTATCCACCACAAGCCAGTGATCAGGGTGGGTGGGTGGGTGAATGTCAGAGAAACCAGATGCATTTCTAACTCACAGATTTGGCTGTCCCCTACAGTAATGCCCCCTTGTTCTTCAGAAACTGGTATCTTTGGTCGTTCCCCACAACCCGAGGCATCCAGTTATTTGTCCCTCTGACGTGGTCATTCCTGTCCCCTTCAATTACACCATCGAGCAGGCATCTTATACAAGGGGGTCTGCCAACGTGTAGTAGGAAAATCCTTTCGACGGAGGTGGGAGAGAAAATAACAAGTCCTCCAGTCTTTTGTGTAGAACAATCCTTCTTCGTCTTGATTTCCTCTTCTCTGACAGGCAGGAGGAGGAGCAGAGAACGGCGACCCAGGTAGGGGTAAAATAAAAAGACCCTCTTGGAAAGTGAGAGACGGGAGCTCCTCAACTCTTTGTCCTCCCACTAGTTTTGGGCAGAAGGAGAGCAGAAGAAACCCAGATCTCTTTCTTCCCAATACAAGAAAAGGCTCCCCCACCCCCACTTAGAAGGGGGGCAAAGGGGCCGGTTGTTCGCCCCGGGGAGACACAAGGGAAACCCTAAGTAAAGAAGCGAACCCAGTCCAGCAGACCCCGACCGGGGAGGGGGGGGGCACACATTGCTCCCAAGAGCGACCACCGTTTGGACGAAGAAGGAAGAAAAGCACCTACCTCTTGAAATCTCTCATTAGCCTCCGCCTGGCTGGAGTGGACATGATCCTCCCGCTCCCCGAACAGCAAAATAATCCCTCTCCCCAAAATAGGCCTCAGCACGGCTGGAAACACAGCTGTCTCCCTCCTCGGCGGCGGCCGCCTCCTTCTGCTGCTTCACAAACAACTCCGCAATGGCGTCTCCCTCCGCCGGTGGGGGAGGGAACAAGCCACCCTTCGCGACTGTACCACTTCGCCTGCCTGGGAGGGGGGCCGAGAACGCCTTAGGAATGTACCACTGCGCCTGCGCGAAGGGGGTGGTGGAGAGAAGTCTTTTAGATAGTGTTCATGTCACACAGGAAACAGTGGCTGTTCTGGGTTGTTTTCGAACATTTCACCTACAGATTCCGGAGATGACGAAGAACCCTTGAAGAAAGGACTCCACGGCACTTCTCACCCCTGATGTGGAAGGGAAGGTGTAGGGGTGTCAAATAGTACTTGTTTTTAAATTATTCCTACCCCCCCCTCCCAAGAGCTTCACAAAATTATAGAACAGGACAACTGGGGACCCACAAGGGGGACTTGCCGGGGTGTCTGTGTGTGTGTCTGTTGTCGATCTCATTTCCCCTTCCCCGCACTACTCTGAAATTCTACACCCCACTGGCTTTCACTGGGTGGCTCCTGTGGAACAGTAGCAAGCAACCAGTCCTGGGCATATCATGCAAGTTGTGTTGTCTCATATCGCCCAGTGGTTGCTGCCAGGTTTGGCCCCAAGGAGTCCTCCTTCAAAAGGTCAAGTAGCCCTGAAAAGACCCACACGTGCGCCTTTTACTGACAGAAAACAAGGCCTGAAAACTGGCAGTACTAAAGCTGACATCAAGAACATTGGCACATGCAATCCAGTACATGTTTAGTGACTGAATATCCACCAAGCTCAATGGGGATTACTTTCAAATAATATAGGCTTGACTCTGTCCTCAGAAGTACCCCACTGATTTGGGGACTTGGTTCGAGTAAGCTTGTGCAGAATTGCAGCCTTAATCAGCTGCTCCCTCATATTACACTGGGTGTGGGCATTAGAATCACATGTACTTATTTCATTTATTTTCATTTGTAGTGTGCCTTTCTCACTGGGATTCAAGGCAGATTACAAGTACAATAGAATTATTTAGACAACCAGTAAGCCAATTTCAAAATATGGTAACATTTGAATAACAGCAATCAGCAAGCAAGCAAATTACAAAACATGACAGCATTTTTTTTCTAACAGCAAACATTCCTAATAAACCAGTATAAAGCAATGAGCCTGGGATAGAAGACTGGAAGAAGGGAGAAAAAACCCCAATAGAGGCCACATTCATGATCCATGATCACCACGCTCTACAAGAATGTCCTCCTGAACAGTACTGGTTTGGACAGCAGTCATGTATGGGTCTGCCGACTCCCTTACAAACCAAACCAACAATAATTTTCCAAGGCCCTGCTTCAGGTGCTCCAGCCTTCTGAGATCAGGCAGATGGCAGTCTGGGAGAGGGCCTTCTTGATTTTGGCGCCCAAACTCTGGAACTGTCTCCCCAGAAAGTCTGTCCTCGCCTGTTGCCATCTTCCACCAATGGGTGAAGATATTTTTATTTTCTCTAACATTCCTCAGTGATCCATTCTTCCTGCTGTGTTTGAACTGCTGTTTTTATGTTTTTGGATGTGTATTTTAGCTTGTTTTTAATAGTTTAAAAAATGTGCTTTTGTTTGGTTTTAATGGTTTTTAAGACATGTTTTTATTATGTACGTTCTTGTTAGCTGCTTTTAAGTACGAGACTCAACACAGCTTGTGAACAGTGAATCAGCTTTATTAACGAAGTCAGAAGAAAACAGAACGAGACAAACATACAGAGCAACAGGCTCTCTTTTAAACAGTCCGGGCTTGGGTAGCCACGCCCACAAGTCAGATATTAATCAATCACTATTTACATATAAGGTCCAATCAGAGTGCTTCCCTCCAGAACATTGCGCAGCTCTGATTGGTGTATCTACATTCCTGTTTCAGAACTCAAGCTAATGCAGAAATTAATACATAACAGCTGCCTTCGTGACCTTGATGAGGACAGAAAGATAGATTATACATTTTGTAAATAAATAGTGTCCCAGGAGTTTTGAATAAAGAATTACAGAGCTGGGTGTCATCAGCATATTGATGGCACCCTATTACAAAACCATGAATGATTTCTTCCAAGGGCTTTACATAGAAATTGAATAGCATGTGGGACAAGACTGAACCTTGTAGAACCCCACAAGGCAGATCCCGCAGTGCAGAAAACTTGTCCCCTACAGCAGTCATCTGAGTCCTGCCTGTGAGCAATGGGTGAAACCAACCACAAGCACATCCCGCCTCCAAACACCTAAACAGGATGGTATGGTCCACTGTGTCAAAGACTGCTCATAAGCCTAGTAGAAGCTCCTCTATTAAATACTAGGAAAAAGGCCAGTTGTGGAAATAAATACAACGGCCTCTAGAAAGAGGCTCTGGGCAGGTGCCCCGGCCTTGGACACTTGGTGTCAATTTGCTGTGGCGACCTCAGCAGGGTATAATGACACTGAGTCCACCATTTTCTCCAGAGGAACTGATCTCTGCTACCTAAAGAACAGTTGTAATTTTGAGTGATCTCCAGCCCTCACCTGGAGATTGGCAACGGTGGTTCCCCAGAAGGGAATAGTTGGTTTGGAGGGTGGAGTCTATGGCTTTGTACCCATCCGAGGTCCCACGCCTCCTGAAACCTCACCCTCTCCAGGCTTCATCCCTCACATCTCCAGGAATTTCCCACCTGGAGTTGGCAACCCTATCTCCTTCCCAGCCAATCATCAACCTACCTTTATTTCCCCCTCACTCTTCAGCTTTCCACCCCCCACACACCTGCAGCCTCTCCCATGCTCTGAAGCCCTGACTGCTACGTCACATTGACTGTCATATGGGGGCCACCTCAGCAGCATGTAAGGATACAGAGCCCACCATTTTCTCCAGGGGAACTGATCTCTGCCATCTAGAAAGCAGTTGGAATTCTGAGTTATCTCCAGCCCTCACCTGGAGATTGGACACATTTTACCTCAGAACAGCAAACTATTTAGAATGTTAGAGGTAAAAGCCAATCACGTCGCATATGCAAACGAACTCTGTGTTCCGAGGCAAAGGCCAATGAGGCTGCATATGCAAATAACCTCTGTGTTCTGACTGGCTATGTGGGGGGGGGGGAGGAACAGCAAAATGTTTAGAATGTTGGAGGCAGGACTCAGGCAAAGCAGCCAGTGGATAGGGAGACCCTCTGAATGACAGGTCAGAGAGCGAACTGATTTTGGAGCATGTGGAGTGTTCTAGAGAAGTGCCACCACCATTCAGCTTTTATTTATAAGGGAGATGCTTAGTATTGCATTGTAAGGATGCACTGTACATTTACCTAAGTAATACCCACTGGGGGCTGTGGTGGCTCAAGTGGTTAAGACGTTGAACTGCAGACTGGAAGGTTGGTAGTTCAGCAGTTCGAGACCCAAGTGCCGCATGACGGAGTGAGTTCCCGTCTCTGGTCCCAGCTCCTGCCAACCTAGCAGTTTGAAAACAAGAAATTGCAAGTAGATAAATAGGCACCGCTTCGGTGGGAAGGTAACAGCATTCCATGCGCCTCGGCGTCTAGTCATGCTGGCCACATGACCACTGAGAAGTCTTCGGACAGCGCTGGCTCTTCGGCTTGGAAACGGAGATGAGCACCGCATCCCTAGTCAGATTTGACTGACTTTCAAGCAAGGGAAACCTTTACCTTTACCTAATACCCACTGAGAGTCAATGGGGTATAGTTTTCAGAATGCTGAACTGGGATCAGACCCATTTTTGAAGTGCACGGGTATGAACCCTACCTTAGACTGAGGAAGTTATGTTTTTATGTAGAATGATTGAGTGTGCTGGTCGTTAACTGTAACAATAAATTTGATGATGAGATGACTGGAGGAAGTTCCTCCAGCCTAAGGAGTCTTCCTTCAGCTTGAGTGGCTCTTCTGTTGCAGGAAGAGCCATTGAAGTTGGAGGAAGGCTCCAAACTTTGCTTGGTGGAGTTATAGGATACATGCCACAGGGCTCTCTCTCCTCTTTCCCTACCTCACAGGGTTTTCAGGATAAAACGGAGGAGAGCCATGCATGCTGCTCTGAATTCTTTGGAGGAAACATAGGACAAAAATGTAATTGATGTATAAGCCTCTCCTTGAAACCAATGGGACTTCTGAGAAAGTATGCCCAGAACTGTTAAATTTTTAATAACCCTTCTTCAGATGCTAACACATTAGTTCAACTGACATGATTTTACTCAGAAATTTAATTTTATTCAGGCTTGACTTCAAAATAAAACTGTAACCAACAAATAATTTAGCATGCTTGTGATTTGTAATTTTCCGTCACCATTCTTTTCCTGTATGTTAATAGCTTTTGTTTGCTGAAAAATTCATTATAGGGGGCAAATGCTGATTGTTTCTCTCTACTGTTAATTGGCAACAGAACCAATTTATTACTGCTGCTATCTACCATTTTGACTCCCTTAAGTGAAAACATTATCTTCTAGATATGACAGTATGTTATTCAGTAACGTAAACCATGATTTACTAGGTGAGTTTTTGAGACTAGACGATTGTTATTTTAAGGGCATGTAGTCAAGGCATCATTGAACTTGTTCAGCAAGGAAATGGAAAACTAACTTTATACTGACAACAATTTCATTTTTAGGTATGTCATACATCAGTCATTGCTTCCTCATTATTATTTCTTGATTATGTTCCACATTAATTCCAGTGTCATGATTTTGTTCAAGGGTTTTAAAATATCTTCATTAATTCACATTGACTGATTATTATAATTTTTTCTAGTGTGTCATGTAGCAGAAAATCATCTCACATTCATAAAAAAAATATCTTAATAGCTTCAAAGACTGGAAATGGCATTTTAGCTGTCCTGATTATTTTTATCCAGTAATTTTTATATTAAAGCCTTGAACATTAATTTAAGAATTAAAGTTATGAAGTCACTGATCTTCATGTTAATTATGTGAATGAAGTGGGCTGTGAAGATGAGCTTATCCTAAGCACATTACTTGGAAGTAAATTATATAGACTAGGATCCAAAGAGTTGCTCAGGCTTGTACAAGAACCTTGTGCTAGCACAAAGCAATTTTTTTGCAGTGCACAAACTGCATTTGACAGTGGTTACAACGTTTTTGGGAACTGCTTTTGAAACTCCTTTTAGCTCCAAAAGCAATTTCCCACCCATTCTTGTTGGCAGGGCAATTGTTGTTTCAGAAAAACAAGTCTAATTGCTGCTGGGCTCATGAAAATAGTTTTATGTATTTTTGGTCACTAGGCATAAAGGTTGCAATAAAATTGTATGAGGGTGAGTTGCAGATTGCAAGGAATCTATTGCCAGTGTCATATAAAAAGCATGGCTTGAGTTGCTTACAAACCCACCAGTGTAAAAACAAGTACAGCATACTGGATAATATGCTGGACATGGAACAGAGACATGGATTCATACCGTTATTCAGTCATGCAGTTCACTGGACAACCTTGGGCCTGATGTTGCATTCCGAAGAGGGGATGCAAATGTTGTTAATAAAAAAGCATAAAAGGTCACTATGGGTTGAATATACAGTGTACTCCTTTTATAATATGTGGGCTTACTATGGTATGAGCCTTCGGGGAGGGCGGGATATAAATCCAAAAATAAATAAATAAATAGCTGCCTTTACTGGACCAAATCTGAAACGATTTGCTCTAGATAACAATTACTAACATTCCAATCTAAAACATGTCCACTGATTAGCAGTTCTAGTGCATACGTGAGGATTCTGACACATACACGTTCTACATGAGCCAAAGGGTGTCTTATTCATTGTGGCACTGGAAAAAGCATGCACACTGCAAGGGTTTCCTGGCACTGAATCAGTAAGCCCATGTTCTCAGAAAAATGTGTGTGCACTCCCCCCCATACCTTCTTAACTATGAATCAAGGCAGTTACATGGAAGTCAGTTTCACCGAAATACATGTGATCAATTTCCAAGTAATATATTTTAAATTGATCCATTATTGTTAATAATGTGGATGGCATCCATCATGTAAAACTGAGGGGAAAGGAGTTTGTACCACTGTCTTAGATAAGCAAACTGCACTTTAACACATGTTGTTAAAATGTATTTTGTGTTACAGTTCAGCTGCCCTTAATGGTTCTTACTCTGTTGTACCAAGCACCTCAAAGTTAACGGGTGAAAAGTGCGGCTTCTACTGCACAGTGTTTCTGAAACTTTATGAAATCTCAGGCCTCCTACTATAGCTTCTATACATCCCAAACTCTTTCATCATTCTACCATTCTCAAAAGTCTTATAACATCTGTCCACCACTCCTCCAGCCCACCATCCTCCACTTCCTTCTAAAAGCCCTCTTTTTTCCAGCAATAATTGCAGTCTAGCCTAAGCCTGCAAAGGTTCCTCAGGGTCACATTTTAGTGACTTCATTTTAGTGCTGATTCCAGTGGGCCCGCACTTTGGGATACCCTGAATTATGACTATTTTTAGGCCAACTACATACGGGACATGCAAATTTAATTGTATTTACACACCGATCTTTCTCTAGATCACATCCATCTTTTGATGGCTGAACAGTAAGGTTGCACTCTGCACCATTTAAAATTAAATTCTGATAGTGGGACAAAGCCATTAAGAGCAATTATACCTACTTAAATGGATTTAAGATTATACCATAAAAAGGTCCTGATTGTTGTCAGAAGCAATATCTACAAGACTGTAGAGGCAAGCCAGCACTGTTTGTTGCCTCTTGCATAAGTGGACTGTAGTTAGGGATATGCAATCCAAAAGGAGCTGGTACAGGGTAATTTCATGTGGTGTATCTTTCAAGGTTCATTGACTGTACACGTCAAAATAAGTTTGCTGTACAGTACAACCACACTTTTTCTTTCAATATTCATGGTTGGTAATAAGAAAGTTATGATGACTGAACTCTAAACAGATTGCCGAGGGAAAGGAAGAGGCATAATTAAGGTCACAGGGAACAGGCTAGTTGCAAAGCTAGGACTGTGGAAATTAGTGCCCTAGTTTGTCTCAGTCATGAGTCCCAGTTTGTGTGCATATCTTCCCAAGGACAGTGAAACATCTGCTCAGGGCCCACTGCTTTTGTGTGTTACTATTTGGTATTATCTTTGATGAAATTGCTAGGCAGCCTTGAGGACCATAGGTAGTGAAATGAGGGGCAAAATAAAACAAAGTCATAAATAGGGTACAATGATAGAATCCCTGATGGGCAGTAGTGGGTATTGTAGCATATCACCGAAGAGCCCACATTGGTGACACTGGTCTGTGTCAGCTGATCTTCTCTCGCCCATCATGATGTTGCTTTAACCCTACATGGCAAAGGCAGCACCGTGGCACTGTGTGGTAAGCAAATGAGCCAGTGTGTTGTAGTGGCTGTAGGGTTAAACTACGACCTGGGTTAAACCATGACCTGGGTTCAAATCTCCATTCTGCCACAAAACTTGCCAGGTCAACTTGGATCAGTCATTCTCTCTCAGCCTAACCTACATCACAGGGTTGTTATGAAGATACAGTGGGGAAGGGGAAATTGGGTACCCTGCCCTATCCTCCTTGGAGGAAGGGTAGAAGAAAAATGTATTTGATAGGCAGATCGATCGATCAGTGGGGCACTGAAAAATCTAGCTGTTGTCATGGAATAAGGAGCGGGATCAACTGAGTCATTTTTAAATCCATGGCAGTAGACTAGTATGCAAAAGCCCTTTCCTCCTTCACATTTTCTGGTAGTAGCTGAGCCAGCATTACTTATTACACAAACCTGTTCTGCCCTCGCCCCAGCCTGGTAGAACTCTCTGCCAAATTACATCCATGCCCTGCCCGGCTTATTAAAATTTTGCAGGGCATGTAAGGCAGAGATGTTCTGCCATGCCTTTGGTTGAGGCCAGTGACAGTTCCTTACATCTGCCTGGCACCCCTCCCTTTCCCTCCCATGACTGAATGCTAGCAATGCCATCTTGTTTTAAAATGTTTTCAGTGTTTAAATTCTCTGAATGTTTTTAGCATTGCTTTTTAATGGTTTTAATTGATTTTATAATGTATTGAATTAATTGTTGTAAACTGCCGTGAGTCCCACACAAGCGGGGAAGGGTGGTTAACAAATCTAAACAAAAAAATAAAAAATAAGCCCTAGAAGAAAGTGAAGCAGTATGCTCAGAGAAATATTACCTCCCACAGCTGTTGGTCACATCCTTCCTATCTATCGGTTGCATTTTGATCCCACCCTTTCACTCATACATGGTCTTCCCCTTCCACAACAACTCTGTGAAGTAGGTTAGGCTGAGAGAGACTGGCCCAAGACCACCTAGTAAACTTTATTGTTGTGTGGGCATTTGAGCCTGGGCCTCCACAGTCATTGTCCAGCACCCTAATAATTACCCCACAGAGACTCCAGTGACAGTATACAAGAGTGCAGTACACCAGAGGCCAAGTGTGACCAACAGACAACCCGTCTTTATATGAATGGATGATACATTTCTGAGGAGAGTATTCCAGGGCTGCTCCAACAAAAAAAATGAGATATTAGGAAAATGTGAACCATGTGTCAGAATATGAAAAGTAGTAAGTGCTTCTGTGCATGTGCAGTGTTGTTATATTATGATGATCACTAATGAAACCACTAAGTCATCAAACCAAAGCATCTCATATTAGATTCAAAGGTAGGTTTTCCAAATTAGGGATGGCTGCTGTGTACACTTGATCACCATCATCACCTTTCCTTTTAGACATCAGCAACTGCACAACCCCTCACCTAACTTTACAACAAACAAATCTAAAGTCACTGTAATCCTCTCAGAAACCCTGTAAGGTAAGCCAGTATTACTATTATTCCCATACTGTAGACAGGGGACTGAGGTTGAGAGTGAACATTTTGCCTATGGTCACCTAGGCAGCTCCTAGTGGCGGAATTCTGAACCAGCAGTCAGCTCATTCTCTTAATCACTATGGTACACCAACTCCACTATGAACACATTTTTTTCATAGTTTACATAGATTCTGAGGCGGAGTCTATACACCTGGTAAATTGAGAGTATTATTCCAAGGAGCTATAGTAATCATAAACAGTACAAATTATTTCACTAATAGATTTGGGGAAAGGTCACTGGCAGGGCAGTTATAAGAATACTTTCCTGGGAGTCTGCCCCAGTGAATAGACCTGAGCAGAATTCAGAGTATACTTGCTTAAGACTTCTTGGCTCATATAAATGGTTCTTTTTTTTTTTGTTTTCTTCAAGCATTTTGAGAGAACTGAAAGGAAGGGGGACAGACTGAGGACAGACTGTTCCTATTTAAGTAGACTTGCATCTACACGAATGGGCATGTTTTAATTCACACGGAATTTCACAGTGGCTTATGTAGCAGCAAAGTGATGGATGGTTGTTTTATATCATTATAATTAGCCATGAGTTTTTTCCCTTTACACATGCTTGCATACTGTTATGAAAAAAACAGCACTGGTGTGTCATACATGAAAGTGAGGTAAAACTATCCCGAGGCGGATAAGGCATTACAGTCAGATTATGCAACCTGAGAACAAAGCGACGTCAGACACTTGACATTTCCCGAAAGTGCCAACTACCGGATGTTGGCAGCCTCCTGAAAGAGCCGCTTTGGAGAAATCGCGTTATGTTTGGGTGCGATTTTCTTCCTCGGTTGCCATCTGCTCCGAGGGCCCAGCCTGAACATCCAAAGGACCCAACCTCCTGTTTCCACCCTCTCTGCTTCCCTTGCCGGGCATCTATGGAACGCGATGAGATCAAACGAGCTCCGCCCTCCTGCGTAGGCAGCCTGGCTGTTTATATAGCTGCTTGTTGCTATGGTAACAAGGCCGGTTTGCTTTCCTGAGCCTGGGAGGCGGCAACATGGGGAGTTCTCGAGAGCAGGTCAGAGGCCCTGTAAGCTTGTCCCCGGAAGAGGGCTGGTTTGGCGCGTCACGGAACAAGGATGGCCCCGAGGAGGGCTGCTACGTGGAGGCGGGAGGGGACGTGGGGAGGAGCTAAGCGGGGGTGCGCGGGTGCGTCTGAGGGCGGCTCGCTCTGGGTGTCGCTGTGGAAGAGCCGGTTAGAGCGAGTGCTGAATCACGGCGCCAAACGCAGCGGGCAGCAAAGGTCAGCCTTAGCTGTGACCTGGGCTGCTGCTTGTTGCTGTGACTTGGGCCGCTGCACCGGTCTGCCAGGCGGACGGCAGTCAAGTATGGGGAATTCCGCCCCCCCCCCCCCCCCCCACCCCCTAGCCTTTGACTTCACAAAGCATAGATTTAAGCGGGGCGATGCACAGTACCAGAGCCAAGAAGTGTGATTTCCCCACCCGCTGTAGATGTTAACTAGTGAATGACCTCTGGACTTAGTTTGATTAGATTTTGAATTATACTCTTCCACTGTACTTATTGCATTTCATGCCCCTTAACCCTAGTGCTCTCTCCCAATAAAATATTCACAAAGTAAAGATTCGCTCATTGCATCTGAAGCGGTGAGCTCTAGCCCATGGAGATTTATGTTGTTGTTCAGTCGCAGTCGAGTCCGACTCTTCGAGACCCCATGGACCAGATCATGCCAGGCCTTCCTGTCTTCCACGGTCCTCTGGAATTTATACTGGAATTTATACTGGAATGAAAATGTTAGCCATAATGATGCCACAAGACTGCTGTTTCCTTTTGTTGCAGCAATTGATATATGTATTTAAAGCATTTTTGGTGTCTTTCCACCCAACTGGGAGTCCCCAAGGTGGTGTACAATGGAGAAACCATTAAAACGAGCTTTTAAACATACACACACACACAAACAATGAAAAACGAAAATTTAACAAAGCGATAACACAGCTACCTTCCCAATTATATGTTAAAGACTGAGAATGAGCATTTCTCCTCTAGTATCCTGAATATGGGTAGGAGTGTTCCTTTAGAAGCTATTAAGATTTCCTACTGAAAACAGATGAGGCTGCCTTTATATGCCTGATAAAGGAAAAGGAGAAAGAGAACTAAGCTGGCATTGTGTTATGCAGAAATGGATGAGGATAAACCATAGACACAGATGGCAACCACATTATAGTCTGAGATATCTTGGTGGATAACATCTCTTCCTCCCTGCTTCCTGGCAGACATGTTTTCCATTTCCTTTTTCTCATGAGCTCTAGACAAGTGTTTTTGGAAGAGAATTATGTAAATAGTAGGATGAACCATGAAGCTAGTGGGATGGCATTTGCCCAGGGATGTAAATCAGACTGTGTGTAGTTTAAGTTATATTGTCCTGCCATGATCAACCATAAGGTTTGTTTGTCTATGCATGCATGCCAAAGGGCATGGAATGGCTACACCAGAAGCATAGTGATGGGACAGTCAGAGTCAGGGTTGCCAGGTCCCCACTGGCCACCGGTGGGGGATGGGGGGGTTTAGGGTCGCCAGATCCAGGTTGGGAAACCCCTGGATATTTGGGGATGGAGCCTGGGGAGGAAAGGGACCTCAGTGGGATACAATACCATAGAGTTGATCCTCTGTAGTATCCATTTTGTCCAGGGGAACTGATCTCCGTAGTCTGGATTGGAGATGAGTTGTAATTCCAGGGGATCTCCAGGTCCCACCTGGAGGCTGGCATCCATAGTCCTGAATGCTCCAGTTAGGTGAAAAGGTTCCAAATAAATAAAAATATAAACTATAAGTGGTTTCTTCCCTTTAATACAGAACTGCTGGTTAACAGGTTAAATCCCTCAAGTCCTTGTTCAGGATCTTGTGCATGCCCTATTGACAACAGTGGAAGTTTCACAATAGATTAGGTGGATTGTATTAAAAAGAAATTCAGTGGGGTTTGCTATGTATGGTGCTCACTTATGTCAGTGGAGCTTGCATAGTGAAGCTCCTGGTCACTTGGGTTACAGTTTTTACCTGATCAATAAGTGCATGCTGCTTTAAGACCAACAAAGTTTTATTCGAGGTATCAGCTTCCATGTGCACACATACTTCTTCGGATACATTGAAATGGAAGTTACCAGTGCCTGAAGAAGAGTGCGTGCACACGAAAGCTTATACCTTGAATAAAACTTTATTGGTCTTAAAGGTTCCACTGGACTTGAATTTTGTTCTGCTGCTTCAGACCAACACGGCTGTCCCACCTGAATCTATCTGCATGCTGCTTGTTAGGTATAACATAGTATGGTTGAAAAAAAGCTCACCTATCTGGGAGAATAAGTCCTCTGCTTAAATTTATCTGTGATCATCCCTTAATAATGGACAATGTTTTAAAGTAACAGATTTTTTCCTTCTTCCATGAAGAGATTTCAGACTTGAGTATGGAGATGTATGACGTCCTTGGAAAAGTGGGAGAGGGAAGCTACGGAATGGTAATGAAATGTAAACACAAGGAAACTGGTCATATAGTTGCCATTAAGATGTTTTATGAGAAGCCAGAAAAATCTGTCAACAAAATTGCAATGAGGGAGATAAAGTTCCTAAAGGTTTGCCTCTTTTCTTGTCATTTTGTAAATCAATGTCTTGATATTGCTAAGCAATAAAATGTGTAGCATTATGGCATGTTTTATTTATTTAGCTGATGCGTTTATATACTGTAGTCTCCAAGACACTGAGATGGTAAAAAGGAACAAATACATAATTTGAGCCATAACTCAAGCCTTAGATTAGTTTTTAAAATTAGAATGGGTAGCTTTTTAGAAGTTATGATATCCTGATCCAAGTACACAAAGTATGCTGTAATGAAATCAATAGTATTCCAATGTGATTTACTTCCACGATTTTTTCCATAACCATGAAGATTGGACACTCGTTATCTCAGATTTTCAGAATTTCGGATTCAGAATTAAATTTTAGAATAGGTGTTCAGATGTTGGTAATACAGCATTGTGTTCTTTTGTGTGTGTATTATAAAGAAACAGTGCTATTCATTTTCTTATTGTTAATAGTTGAAAGTACAATTATTTTTGTGCTTTTGCCTGTTAATTTATGATGCATTTAAAGGAGTTGTATGTGCAGTGGTAACAGTATAGGGTTTAGATTCACCCAATTTTGGGTGATCCTAAAAGGAATGGCAGAGTATGACTACTGGGATGCACTCATTCTTTCTGAATGACTATAGGAATGCACTGGTTTTCCAAAATACCATTAGAAAATACTAAGGCAATGGGAACTGGTTACTTGAGAGGCAATCTCTAGGGACTGTCACCAAATGGCAGACCATAATAAGAATTAAAAAGAGATTAGGCATTCACAAACACAGTCACTGTTGCAGAATTTAACAATTACAACAAATAAGCAGAAGGGTATTGGTCAAGTGTGCTTACGATTTCTGCACATATGAGACAGATGATGTGGTGTGTGAAATATGACTTGAATAGGGAGAGTGAGAATGCTTAAGAGGAGCTTCCAACGAACTAGAGAGAGGGAGGGAGCGCACAACTAGTTTCCTTTTCTTAAACAAGTGGAACTAATTTTTCTTTTCTTTTTTAACTGCCTCCAAAGAGGCAGAATTTTATTAATTTTTTTCACATATATTAAACTCACAATAACATATAAAATACAAACAAACACACGTACACATACATACATGGGGTATATTTTCCCGCTTTTTATCAAGTGTTAATGTTAGCACCTATTCCACATTAATTATTATTTCTTGTGTCCTGTATAAGTAACCTTCTATCTCTTACTACATAAGACATGTATATTCTTCATTTAATCTACCAATGTTCTGTCCCTAAAAATTTACCTACATCTGCTTACCATACCAGTTATAAAACCGAGTCCAAGTATTCTGGAATGTTGATTCCGTTGCACCTTTTATCAATAAAGTCATTTTATCCATTTACACCGCCTCCAGTATTTTGTTTATAAGTTTTCGTTTTGGTGGTGTCTCCATTAGTTTCCAGTATTTTGCATAAAGTATTCTGGCCGCCGTAGTTATGAAAACAATTAAATAGCGATCTTCTTTGTTGGAGTGTTCAGGTAAAATGTTTAATAACAAAGCCTCTGGTGTAAATGGCACCCCTGTACCTAATATTTTTTGTAAAATTTCATGTACCATTGCCCAATATCTCTTAGCTCTTTCACAGAGCCAGCACATGTGGTAAAATGTACCAGTCTTATTTTCACATTTCCAACACTTATTAGAACATCTTGAATCAATTTTAGCTAATCTTTCAGGTGTTACATACCATCTATAAAACATTTTATACACATTTTCTTTATATAGTATAGCTTTCGTAAGCTTAATATTTTTCTTCCATATTTGATCCCACTGCTCAAAATTAATAGCGCAGTGAATTTTACTCCCGTTTCCGTCTCTTAATTGAAGCGCTTCAGCACAGCCCATCCTTCGTAGACATAGACCAGTATCCCGATTAATAAACTGTTCCAATTGTCTCTCTCGAAGAGCAATTCGGCTAACATTTCCTCCTGATATGCATGTAGGAGTGTAATAGCTTCTAATGGGATGGTCAACTTTGAGGGTTTTTTTTAATAAAAGCGCTTATGTATGTTTTCCCATACTTTCATTAGAGCTGTCCGTATCCAAAGTTGTTTAAAATACTTATGCATATTCGCCTTTCCGTACCATAAAAATGCATGCCATCCTACTGGCGGTCATGGCCTTCCAGTTTCAATATTCTCTTATCTTCCAATGTGACCCAAACTTTAATCCATGTTACCGCCACTACTTTATAATAAAGATTCCAGTTGGGTACCCCCTTTCTTTGGTATCTTGAAGCGTTTTCAATCTTATTCTGGGCCTCTTATCTTGCCAAATAAATTTCAAAATCGTTTGTTCCAATTCCCTAAAGATTTTTTGGTTTTGGAGGATAGGGATTGTTTGGAATAAAAATAAC